AAGACCCAGACCCCCGGCCGGCTCTCCAACGCCGGCAGCTTGGGCAGGGGGCAGGAGGCAGGGGGCCGCAGGGGGAGCCCCTGCTCCGGCAGCTCCACCACCTCGGGCAGCGTGGGGGCATAGCGGGCTGCGATCAGCACCCGCTGGTTCTGGAAATTGTCCGGGTGCGGGGAGAGGTACAGGGTGGGCATGGCGAGGGCTGAGCACCCCGAAGACACACCTGGGGACAGAGAGACAGAGTTGGTGAGACAAGGGGCCTGTCCCCTGCAGGGGGCGCCAGTTCCCATCTGCCCCAGGGCAGGGACCGGCTGCCTCAGGGGGCGGGGAATGGGACAGGGGCCTGTCCCCTCTAGGGGGCGCCTGCTCCCATCTGCCCCAGGGCAGGGACCGGCTGGCTCGGGGGGCAGGGAACGGGGCAGAGGCCTGTCCCCTCTAGCTGCTCCCACCTGCCCCGGTGCTGGGCTCTGACACCGGCTGGGCTGATGCAATCCCAGTGCCAGGACCCGCCTCCGAGAAGCCTCTCCCTGGGGCGGGGCCAAGGGAGCTATCACTGGCGGGGCGGGGGGCGATCCAAGCAACCCCCCAGCCCCAGCTCATGGCCCTAGGTACCAGCCCCATCACCCCCCCCATCACAGGATGAACCCCAGGCAGCTCAGAGGGGGGCAGATGGGGGTATGAACTGAGGACGGGGGGATGCAACTGGTACCGTCAGGATCATTGAGGGGGCAGGAGGGGCGCAGGAGGAAGGGGTTGTTAGGCCAGGGAGGTTCTATGGGGGTGGGGGGTGTCAGGGCTGCGTGCTGTGGGACAGGGATGATGACAGAGCGGCTGGGGGGTAGGGAAGGGGGCAGGGGGCCGCAGCCCTAGGGGGACTAGGATGGGGAGATGGAGGGCTGTGAGGCAGGGGTGATGATGGAAGTGCTGTAGGGCGGGGAACTGGCGTAGTGTGTGGGCGGGGGGGCTAGGGCGGGGAGGTGGGGGACTGGGAGATCTATGGGGCCGGGGGTGTCAGGGCTGGGAAGCTGAAGGGCAGGCGGTACTGTGGGGGCCTGTGGGGCAGGGGGTGGTTGTGGGGATTAGGACGGGAAGGTTGGGGCTGGGAAGGTCTATGGGGCAGGAGGTGTCAGTGCTGGGGGGCTACGGGGCAGGAGGTGATGACGGAGGGGCTGTGGGGCAGGGGAGGGACTAGGACCGGGAGATCTATGGGGCAGTGGGTGACTGTGCTGGAAGGCGGGGTTGATGGGGCTGAGGGGGCGGGGCCAGGGTGGTTATGGGGCGGAGGGGCAGAAGGCACCAGCCCCCCCCCCGGTACCTGCGCTCCCGGCAGCTGCTCCCGGCCCCACGTGTCTCCGCCTTTGGCGATCCCCGGCTGCAGGACCAGCTGGGGTCCTCAGCCACACGACTGGCACTTGGAGAGCCATAGAGCGCTAAGGGCCGGTGGAGAGAGCGGCCGAGCCACGCTCCCTACAGCAGAAAAGGCCATAGAGAGGGAAGGCGCTGGGGAGCGTCCCCTGGTGGCGGGAGTGAGTCACTGCAGCTCAGTGTATCGTGATTGGCGCTATAGGGAAGGGATTGGGGGTGACCAGAGGGGTGGGGCAGGAGAAATGGGGGGTGGGGCAGGAGATCCAGCCCAGCATGGGGAGGCGAATTTCTATTGAACCTCAGAGGGCGTTGGAAGTCGGGGAGAATTATTCAGGCTGGGATTGGCCCAGACTCCTGAGATCAGGGACCCGCCCCAACCCCGGCTAGAACGGGACGGGTGGGTGTGTGAGTGGGGGGGAGTTAGGTGCTCAGTCCCGTCCCCGTCCCCATCCCCCCCGCGTGAACTGTCAACTCAGCGCTTTCAGATCATTTCCTTGGGGTCCTCTTTGGAGTGGGAAAGAGTCCTGGCTCCCAGCCCCCCCGTCTCCCCTGCTC